GCTCCATTGCCCCGCAGTCCCTGTCGGCCCTATCTTTATACCGATTTATGGAAATCGTGAATGACTTTTCAGCAATGTAAACAAGACACGAATGAACTCATGACTTTTGAGATGACGTGTTGACAATACCCTAATGGTAAAATTATGTAGAACTGTTTTCTTTCGACGAAGGCTGAATAGAAATTACTAAAAGAACAAAAAATAAATCTATAAGGTGATTCTGGTAAAATTCCGGCAAAAGACTTGTTGAGGCAATCAGGCTGCTGGCTTCATGATAAATAACAAATTAAACTGGCGGCAACTTTATGCCACTTCAAGCTAAATAAATATGAAAGAAAATTAAKAATTCGAGTTTATTGAAAACTGCATGTCGTCTTTAAAATGTTCTGAAATTAGGTTCAAGTTAATTTGAGAAAGTAGATTATATTTATTTTCTAGAAGGCAAATTGTGTATAACAGACTAACTTGTGATTAGTGCCGATCTCAACATCAGAACGAGTCTGATTTGATTTTAGGACGAGCTATCACGGGACGAGGTCAAGGCAAATATCRCAACGCTTTACAGGTTTAAACTCGTTAAAAATGGATTCTTTAAACCCCGCCGACCTACATACGGTAATATCGAAGACTTATCAAGTAAGGGATACTTTAAAATAGCCTTCTCTTTGTCTTGTTTTGAATTTGTMGGCCATTGTGTCGTTTCAACTGTGTTTGACCACAACTTTGATTTTTTCTGTTCGTGCTTGCAGAATATTTTTGACATAGCTCCCGTCCTCAAGGAACTTTCTGCTGCTGCGAGAACTTATCACAAAGCTYTGCAAAGTAAGTCTGAGAGGTACAGTTGTATTGAACGAGTACTTGTTAATTTATACGGTTGTGTGTAGATGTCTCTAGCGCTGCCATGGCATTTCACACCGCGCTGTCAAAGATTTCTCGTATGGCTATGACTTCAAAAGGACCTGCTCATCTTCTAGGTAGGCTTCTCCTAGTAAATTGTTTTAATTGTTATCGTGTCACAGTGAATTGAATTTCTTTAAGCAATATAGAAGCTAAAAATGTCCCATTTGAAAATTTCGCATAAGTTTACTCAATTTGTAAAATTCAAAACTTTTAGCAGCAACTGCCGAGCCATTCTATGTAAGAATGTACCCCATGCTAAGGTAATTTTTCTATTATTATAGTAGTTCTAACGTTCTTCAGCTCTCTGAATTGAGAGCTTGTAAACAAATATTTTTATTGCGCTAGGCATAATTTTTTAACCCATTAACTTAACTTAACTTAAATATTAGCGAGATCGAGGTTCACAGCTATCAAGTAAGCTTCATGTAGTTCAATACTCAGGGTAACTTTTTAATGTTTTGTTGTTTTAAAAGAATAGCTAATGATGCTTGAAAAGATCCTTTGTTTGTGGTGTTGACTGCCTCGTAACGTAACTTAAGTAATTATTTACAGTCAATATTGCTGATCTACGCTTTTGGTCAAAATCAAATACCTTCACAAATTTCAGGCTTCTAGAATCTTGCTAGAATTAAATAAAATATTTCACCTTATTATATTTCTGATCGTTGTGATAAAAATTATCAGGAATTTTCAAGTGTGTGTCTACATTTCGAAACCTTCGTCTGGGAGAATAAATCTCATTGTAGTCATTCGGAAGAGTCGTTTTTAAAAAAACATTTTTTGTTTACTATCGTTTTTAACTTGATTTTTGACTTTCCCAGGGGGTACTCTCCAAGATATAATGGACACTCATAAAGATATAGAGAACCGAAGGCAAGAAATCGTAAGTTTTTTCACAATTGAAAAGTACTTGTAGCGAAGATAGAGAGGTCACAGACGTGACTGAGCTCTTAGATGTTACGTCATAGCTGGATTCACAAGAAAAACCAAACTAATCTTAGATCATATCTCTCTATTTAGGGAATACAAAACTTGCAATCATTRTAAAGKCCCTTAACAATGATTTTGCATGAGGAAATAAAGGATGTGTTTTTAGTGCAGATTAGTGGGAAAATCCCCCGTCAGTTTGAATTACTGATTCTGTTATTGTTTGGATTTAGTTTTGTTTGTTTWTTGTTTCTTTTGTAAAGTCTGTGTTTGACATTTGACTCYATCTAAAACTATGGTCAACATAAATCTCTAACCATTTTTTTAGTTTATTTTTCACTTCTCTCAGATGATTCTCAGTCAATAATGATATTTTGTTTACTATTATGGTGTGCCAGTCTAAACTGATGATGAATGACCTGATAGTTCCAGTTGAATCCCTGGTAGAGTCTGATAATGTTTATGTGAAGGTATGTACACGTAGCTAGAGCATGACAATGGTATTTCAAGATCATGATGAATAGTAATCAGCCAACACTTATAACAGTAATATGATTGGGAATGAGTGTATTATGAATACAGTAATCATTTCATGTGATAATGGTTAATAGTGTTGATTGTAAGTATGTGAAAATAATTTTCAGAATC